GGTTTCGAGGATCGTTCGTTATTCGGTTGTATCGGATTGTATGCATTTTTTAATACAAAAGATGTAACAATATTTCTAATTAACTCAAATAACCTAAGACAACCAATTCAATTTATTATCGATGTTTTCCTCCATGGTGATTTGCTACAGTTGGTAGTTTCGCCACTTGATCGGTTAATAATTTTTTGGTCGAAATTTCAACAAAAAACTATCCAATGTCTTAATTCATCGATCGATAGTGTTGAAAATAGTTTTCATAGACCATGACTTCTATAATGTAGGTACTCCACATATTGTAACTTGTTTTTGCAATTTGCAAATACGTTATTAAGCGACAGAACATAGCGATGGAAGCTTGATAGGGGAGTCGATGGTGTCTGCCTCTAAACCTACCTAATAACTACCTGCTTGTTTCCTTTACAACTTTAGATATTTTCTAATAATGTAATAATATAAGATACCGTCCGAAACAATGAGCTTCTATTTTTGGTTTCTAGAAAGACCGATACCATATATTTTTCCCCAGCTCGATCTACCAGAGAAATGACGCAAATGAAGATATGGTGACGTAATTTAAGACCATTCAGATGTAAGTAGATTATACGAGAACCAATTTTATAAATGAATAATAAGCATGCATTACCTACTATATGCGCGTGCGCGAAGGTAGCCAATACACGATATCCAGTACGCGCCAGTACATCAGTACTCTGTAGAACCGTTTCGGTACTATCTTAAAATGACACAAACTAGGTAGGTACATTTAGGAGTACACTAGTACTGGCTACCTTCCAAATCTCCCCAGCCGGCAGCCAGTACAGGGGATATTAATGTCCAGAACATAAATAAGCAATAGTACTTTTCCGTACTTCCTAGGTAGTAAATATAGATCTAATCAATTGATTGGTACCTTTAAGGATACCGTCTATCGTTCAGATGGCGCTAGCTAGTACACGGGAAACTGATAACCGGGATATAAGCACACAGGAGTACCATTTAGTACTGTTCCAGGACTGATTAAATTAATGTACATTCAGTTTTCATATATTATCTTATTACACTAGTACTGGTCTACCTTCTATATCTCTCTAGGGAGTACAGGTGATATTGATATACGGTACATAAATAAGCAACAGTCTAGAATATCTACAGGGTGTCCCAATGAAAATTTGACCCTGCTTATCTAGAAACCAAGCATTCGGAGAATTTCTAAAACAGCCCAAATTTGACTTTGAGGGAGAAGAATTATGATATAAAATACACTTTAAAACTTAACCCCTGTAGGTGTCACAGCAACCCCCGCAAGAATTTTAAATGGCATGAGAGGTGCACATCAAATTAAAAGGAATTTTTACTCTCTAACGGTTGGTAATCGTACATCAGCAAAATTTAGAACATATCGAACTAAGAAATCGATTTCATTTCACATTCTGTTGTTAACTTAGTTGGTTAAAAATTCGTTAAGCCGTTTGTGAGGAAGAAGCGACTGGCGAAGAGTGCACTTTCATATTTGTTATTTTCGATTTGAATAGCCCATTAAATAATTTTTGATTTCTGATCGAATGACACAATAGTTCCGGAGCGTTTGTGACTCATCAGACAGACAGACATCAACAGCGCAAAAGTGCACTTTTTATTTTTTGAAAGTGAAAGTGCACTAAAAATACATAATAATCGGAAATATATCCTTTCGTTTGATAACCTTGTATATTAATATATTGTGCTGGTTATCGAGATCCAGTACTGATGGTGAGCGTCCAAGTACCGCCAGTCAGTACATCAAAATATCGATGCCTATTATATTCTTTATGGGAAATGTTCTTACTGTGACTTTTACATAGAAACATATCTATAGATTTGATGGATTAAGACCTTTGGGGAACGCGGCAAACAAATTATTTTTGAACTTTTTTTATGGAAATTACTTTCGTGACATCTAAAGCAAACTTCGGTTATTAATTTTACAATCACATTTACGATACCATCGCTAATAACCTGCCAAAATTGGCGAAATCTCCGCTAATTAAATAAAGGTGACGAACCCTGTCAAATCTGATTAATTATAACTGGCCTACGTAAAAATGGGTATGTAATCGTTTTCAGTTTGATGCTATTATTACTTGCGAGAAGTTCCCTGATCATCACTCATATCGGAATATGTCAGTTGATGTAATCTTCCTTACTCCGTCAACTCTTATCAGTCACTTGTCTTGGGTATTTAATTATATGTTCGTCTATTTGTTGGCGATTCATTGACTGCCCGTAGTCAGATGATTATCAAACAACTTGTTAATTCTTCAATCGAATTGTATGTATAGCTTTCACGTTACCGTTGATTTTGTGCTACACCTTGTTATTAATGGGATCAAATAAACGGTTTTTAACTAATTATGTTAACAATTATGCTGGAATTCGTAAACGATCTTCTTCCATATATGTTTCTATGTATAACAAACCTGTATAGTGTAGAGCTCGAGTATTTAATTCAGTAACTACCAAGTGCGAAGAAGATCTTTACCCCAATATCAATATTATTCGCCTACTACCGTAATTGCAAACATGAGTAATTTTGATTATCTCATATCTTGAATACGGAAGAAGTTTCATTTTATTTTTTCTTGTTTTAATTAATTACACACGATCATATACTACCGAGGAAGTAAATTGACACGCATTTATGCTATAGGTGCTACGAATGGTAACATTTATACCTTTTTATTTTGGTACACTGTAGAAGACCCTACGTTATAAATAGGTGATATTAATATTAACGTCTGGATGCTATTACGTTTATGGATTAAAAATTAAAATACACCGGATGTTGAAAATATCAAAAATATTTAAAATTGAACCACTCTTATACGAAATACCGCAGTCTAGAGTGTTTAATTAAATATACCTATAAATGTAGCTCGCCTGAAAAATCATGACAGATTAACTAAATAATCTAAAATTGACTATTACCCAAATCCAGTTTCTCCATGGTCCACTCTTCTGATAGCACTATAACGATGCTTCAACATACCAAGCAATATATATTGCTGTACATAAATTCTTGTCCCACGGTTTTAGTCTCTGTTGTTAGAAATTATCTGTGACTTAATGTATTATATTCGTCTACCTATTAGTAAAAAATACACATATGTACTTTAATTCTATGTGCCTACTAAAATGCATTAGGTACATGCTTGTAACATTAAAAAACATAGGTGTTAATTTAATAATTCCATAGTTCCGCCAGTAGAGCATTTAATAAAAACTCCATCACATTAATTAACCGATTCTTTGCGGAATTCCCTAGTGGGTAACTATTTTAATAATAAATTCGCATATTATGTGGTCGTAAAATTTGGATTGTAAAATACGACTTACATTTTTTTGTCAATATATTTATTAACATAATAAAATCCAAGGCACGAGTTTTACTTTCTAAGCATGGACGATACGATAAGCATGTACAGTTTTAGTTTGAAACGTTTAATTTATGCATTGATTAGTGATTTTTAAAGTTCAACTTTTCTTTATAGGTAATGTAATTTTCGCTTGACTGTCAGTATAATGCTAAATCTACACGTGCCAAACAGTTGTTACTTTATATTCAAATCTATAAATGAGTGAGTTGTGTAATCTCTTATTATAGCCAAATTTGAAAAGGAAATGATTAACATAATTTAGTGGCGCATAGTCTTGAAAGTTAGTTGCCCTGTTAGCAGATGGCGCATTATGGCACAACTTCTATGATTCTAGGTAATCTTTTCGGTCTCAATATGCCCATATGGTAGTAATTATTAAGACTGCTCAAAATGTAACTTCCATGGGCGAACTGTTGCATTAGATGTTCATGCCATTCCTACAAAGGCACTATTCATTTACCTAGTGCTCAGTTGCATGCATAGTTCCATACCAGAAAAGGGCCAGGGTTGTAAGTGTGTTTTATCTACTGTTCCTATTCCATATTCCGGATTATCCAAAGCTTCACTCTTAGATAGGAGACCATGGAACTTGAAATTTGACAAAATATTGAACATTTCACATTGTTACAATCTATAATACACTTTTTTAACATGATAGTTAGAGTATTGTTATTTTTGAACATAAGAACATTGTGTTTTATTATAGTGTGAATAAATTTACAACTTCCGGTTCTTATAAATCCGTTCAACTTCAAATCGCACATTGACAGTGAACATTACTTTTAAGAAATTCCCAATTCACACGCTGAGTAAAACTCGTCACGGTAGCCTATAATCAAAAGTCACGAGACGGATTTATAAGAACCACTCTGCCTAACTTCACCAGCAAAAAAGAGTACTCATGGACAGGTTTCAACTAACAGGAACTATTTATTCAGAATTCTGTATTTTTTCTTTATAAAACCTATACTATATCTTAACTATTTAAGGTTTTTTAACATAGAGCAAATCGAAAAATACCATGCCCATTGTGACTGTTATCACCCATGCCACAGTGCCAGGGAGTCGCTTGGGCGTTTTCAAAAATTTGTACCGCTTCATAGCGAACGTGAACAAAACAAACGATAAGAGGCCGAGGAGGATATATGTATGGTTGGTAGAAATTAATTGCTTTCGTCGAGACCTTTCATTCGAGTACCGAGAAGGAATTTCGACCTCCCTTCAACCACCCACAGATCTCGAGAAAAGGCCTTTCTTCCCCTTCCTCCTTAATTTCAAAAGTTATATTTGGCACGCTCAAACGTTATTAACACCATTTGGCTGGCTACTATAAAATACATAATTAAAATTTATGTTTCTTCCCTTTTTTCTAAAATCATCTTCGTTGATTCCTCTCCTCTTCCCCCCCCCCTCTTTTAGCACTTCATTCCTGATTTAACTGCTCTTTCCACCATTTTACATTCACATAGCATGTGCTCCTATATCTTCCTCTTTCTTTCCACAAATTCTGCATTTCCTTTCTTCTTTTTTCTCCTTTCCTCGTTTCCGCATCAAAACCATGCTATTACCAACTCCTTATCAGCTCCCAGGTCCCGGGTTTATAATGGGCTAACTGGGATATAGTCCAGAGTGCCACTTTCGGAGGGGGGACGGCGCCGGCGGCTAGATGTGCTAAATTATATTTGTTTTTATTATTTTCAATTTAGATGAGTGGATAATTTTTGTCAAAATATAGCCCAGAGCGTGAAAAACATAGTCCGGTCCCTCTCAGCTCCTTGTACCTACGTTTTCTCGTGAGCTTTCGACTTTCACCGTCTGTTGCCGCCGCATTTGTATAATCTTCCATCAATTTCTCTCATAGTATTTTTTCTTTCTTCCCCTTTTGTGTTCATCCTTGTTGACAAGCATTCTTTTTCCAATTCACTTTCTCTTACCGCCCTGCGTATAGGTTACCTATTGCAAAACATTCCAAGGCTCTAGGAGAATTCCCCTGAAAGTAGGTGAAAGAAACAATCACACATTCTTTTAATAATTAAAAAAATACGTTACCACAGTAAAATATCCATATTTTATCTGTGTTGTTTCCACGATGTGAGGGGCGTTTGGACTTCCTATTTTTATTTGGTGTAAGCACAAAGTGAATCGAGTTTATGGTTGATGCAATGTCAGATGGACGGCAAGCTTGGGCTACACTCGTACTTTCACTAGTGGAGGGTTTTCTTACAAACACCACGATCGCGTTCCATTAGTTCAGAACGCAGGGCAAACTAAAATAGATAGAAAAAAATCGAGAAAAAAAATTTCCCACAAAAAATGCGAATCTTCATAGTGTAAGGTGGGCAATCACAGTGACTGGACGGGACAGATTTAAATGTTGTTGTAAATTCCGTTTTATTCCGACTTTAAGCTAGAAGGTTATATGTACGACTTTTGGCATTACGGATTTTATTGAACCTGAGGCTAAGCTTTACGTAGGTTTTGGAATATTTACGTCTTATATTTATATGCAAGATTTTTCACAAAAAATCGGATAATTCAAATTCATGCAGTATGGAAAATTTCTGTAGGGCCCTTGAAATTCCGGGATAAACCGCCTCTACCCCTTTCCCTGATGCCACTTAGTGTATACAGGGTGCACATTTTCTCTGGAACACTGGATATATCTTCAAAACAACATTCTTTTTAAAGTTTTTTGTGGTACCTACCTAAAATTATAAAAATTTGCTATCAATCTACGTACTTTAAATTTGTGGTCAGTGACGTACTTCTGCATGGTCAAGGGGGAATTTTTTTTTAATGGCAACTACTAGTTTGTATTGCATATTATTAAAGGGTACATTTTGTTTTATAGCAGCATAAAAAAATTATTATACGAGTATTACATGAATTTAAAAGAAAAATTCAAATTAAGGAAAATAGTTTTAATTAGGTAATTTTATAATTGTACTAGTTTGAGCATGTTTTTTGTTGTAGTCAAACAAGGTGCATTCTTTAATAGTACCACACGAAAAATAGTGCTCTCCATTAAAAAAAGTGACCCTTTTAGTTTCGTAGACGCACGCCACTGTAAATAATTTTTAAGCATAGGTATAGATTTCGTTATACCTATATTTTAAAGGAGTTTTGATACAATAAGTTTCTTTGACATAACTAACAAAAGAATAACGTTTTTTTGTCAACGCCAACTAGTGAAATTATACTATTTTCCTTAATTTGAGTTTTGATTATGCAATATAAGTCGACAGATTTCCAAATATGACGTAATAAACGCATGAAACATACAAGATGAGGTAGGTAGTGCAGGGTCCCGCATTTCAGATAGTAATATTAATGTGTATCAAAATTTTCCGGCTATTTTTGTACCATATCTTGGGCCTAGTCTTGGGCTCATTGGTTCTCACTACTTTCCTTTAAACAAATAATGAGGGGGCCTGCTCTACGCGAATCTGATTCAACATGCGTCGCGAGCCTTTTAAATAGATGATTTGTCTACGTAAATGTCGGGCTTTTTGTGGATTTTAATAATGACTAAAATAATACTAAGTAATAAAGAAGTGTTTTATTTTTATTTATTTATTTATTGTCCCTCTCTTGTTCTGGATTGGCTTGCGACCAATTATAGTGACCCGCATAATGCATTTTAGAGGTGCCCCTGCAGAAGGTCTTAAGTTGTTCTATACTACTGCGGTATTTACCTTACGAATTAGGAAAACTGCAGGAAAACCTAATTCGGAGTAGCCAGCCGAATGCTCGAAACTGATCTAAGGAAATATCCATCTCTGTAAGTGTTCATTGCGCTGTTAAGCACAAAAAGGAGCGGTTTTGGCTATAATCATGCTACCGGGCGGCTAATAATTCGTTGTACATATAATGGTAATACTGAAATGATTAAGTGGATTGAATGGAAGCAGTGTTTCTGGGATTGAGAAATCCACGTAAGGATCAAAAATTATTTTTCCTCAATTGGAAAATTGAAAACATTGCAATCTGCTATACCTTCTTGGCCCGTGGTTGATAGCGCATATCTTAAGGGAGGTCCGAGGTAGTTACAGTCGCGGATTTAGGATTTGGTCTAGGGAGGGGCGCATACAATTTTGCATCTCAAATAACTTTTTAACAAAGTAAGGCTTGAGAAATCCCTTTCAGCGGTTGCTTCAGAAATTGTAAAAGTGCATTGTAAAAGTTTCTTAATGGTAGCATAATAAATTTCGTCACAATTTTGAAGAGCTTGTAATGCATTATCGTAGACAATGTCCATGGTGCAAAAACTCTGTTTATAAAGCTGCACTTCTCCCAGAAGTTGTGCTAACGACGGGTTATTTAGCAGATCTCCGTACTCATTTACCTATTATTAAAACGTTATCATCGGTGACGGCCTGAAGAGCATGGAGTGCCTATTAATATATTTAAGCCTCGATTTAAGCTTAAATTCGACAAATTTTTTTTCCAAAACGAGGTTTTAGGTCAACTATTCAATTGTCAAGAATTGGAATATAGATAACTTTCTTCCAATAGTCACTGGGTGACAAATTCTTAAAATCAGAACACGTATTCCTTGTGGTGTGTCTGTTGCAAAGGCTTATGTTGGCACTTTTTAGCCCGTTGCAGAGGCTGATTAGACGTTGCCATCTTCACAGATCATTTAGTTCTAACACTACCTCGAACACTACTAAATTCGAAAGTTAAATGAACGTTACTACGCCGCGTCTTATGGAAAATTCACAAAACGTAAACATTTGTGAAAAAGTCCTTCCCTAAAAATGATAATAACCGCCCAAATCTTTTTAGGAATTCACAACAGTTGTAAATTATATCGCACTTCGGTTTCTGTGCTTTGAGATCAGCAGCGTGTCATCCTTTCTTTCTTCTAATACTAAGACTAATCCTTTACCTTAGTACCTACCTGCCATAAAATAGACTGATTTAGAAATTTCAAGAAAATGTATCTAGGTATTAGAGATTTTGTTAATCTAGGTGCATAAATGAATTTGCATAAATAGGTCGGTACCGCCAATACCTAGCAAGCATCGTAAATCGTTATTGAAAAATCCTGTTTTGGACGGGATTTGACATTTACTTAGTAGCCTAAAATGTCGCAGAACTGAATTTTTTATCGCAAAAATGGCATAAAACGTAGCCCATCTCCCAATGTGGTAACACTGTCCAGAAGTGTCCCCCTTTAAATCCGAGTAATAGTAAATTTTCATAAAGCAGGCCAACGTTGTAGCAGAAAAATTGTTTTGAATAGTTGAGGCGACGGAGTAACTTATTTTGCCCATCTATTGGCACTTGTAGACCCCCTCTGGTTTCGTCTAGACCCGTCTTAGACCAAAACTAGTCATAAAGGATTTGTGAAATGACCTAAAGTTAAATCATTGTCGTGTTGTTTGTGTTCCCCTGTCATTCAAAGATACTTAAGAACTTCAATGTCGGTTTTAGTCTGCGTTTTCCACAAAAGTCGGCGCTGTCCTCTGCATCTCAAAACTGACCGACAGATAAATACAACGAATTTTACTAGAGATGCTTGTACAGCTTACATAAGATGAAAGTCTTGCTGAAAATTGGACTCATTAAAATAATTTTGAAAGCGTTACCCTAAATTGAACCGAAAGGGAAATCTTGTTTTACTTCAAGGCGTTTATTTGTGTAAAAGATAAAAAATAAAGTAGAGTGGAGAAATTGTTATGGAAGATTAAGAATATAGGTCACATTTAGAAAGGTGCATTCAATTGGTAGAGTAACCAGACGAAATAAAACAAAAAACAAAATTTTCGTATATATACGTTTAATTGCAACGTCCTTTCAAGAAAGGGCAAAGGGTATATGTTGCAAGTGTGTAATTTTAAAATGTTCGACCACTCATGAAAGTCGATGTTGATGCATTGTTAGCATTAAGCCGTATAACTTTTGTTCCTTTTTATTTCTTATGTCGTAATGTGGTTCGTATTCAATTTCAGAGGTGTATAATATGTACTTAAACGTACTCTGTAAGGTAACGAATCCGAGATTCATATTGCCGTTTATTTTTCAGCATCCTACTTAATTTGTGTGGTTTAACCCGTGTACGAGTCATCATTTTCAGAATGCATCTATAATAGTTTTTCAAAATTAGACACCTGTATGACATCGAATTTTTACGTAATTCAAACGCGAATCAGCGTTACTTTACTTTACAGGGTGATTTTATACATTTCCACTTTCGGAGTAATCCGTTCTGGTGACTAGGATAGTAAGAATCAAACTATCGTAGTGGTGTGATAAGATATCTTTGTAAATAACTTTTCGTCGACAGGTCTAGTTGTACGCCACTATGTAAGTATATAAGTTTGAAAGGCAAACCGTGGATGTCAAAGTGCGGAACGGACACCTGAGATCTTCAGTTATTTGATATGAGGTCCTTGTAAGACATTCTTCCATTATTCAGTAACAAAGAAGTTGCACTTTAAAGTCTTCGTCACATTTTTCCGTTTCACGAAAATTGATAGTCTGATCAAGGACCGGCCTAAAACTTGTTACCCATCAACAAGTTTCTATGAATGAAATTTTATAACACTGTACATATTTTCGTCACTCAATGCGTTTTTAATATGCACTTCTTTCGGTCTCTCCAATTATAATGAGTTCAAGCTGCTGCACTAATTTTGATTTTTGCTTCCAATATCACTGTCAGTGTTTTTGCAACTTAAAGCAACTTGACCACAACCTGTCACATCTCGTAAATGTCTTCTTTAATTTCATACAAATTTTCTACCCTCGTGCTTCTAGTTTACCGCGGATGATTTCCCAACTCAAACATTGTAGGACGAAATGATTTTTTTGATCAGTTTAAGGTCGTTGTAGTATAACATAATCAATACATGTATGTTAGACCAGACCACGTTTAGTACTCAATATCTTTGAAAGAATGTTAAAACGCACTGTTTTGGTGTACGGGATTGACTGACAGTAGACTTCATGAGACTCATTGATTGCTTGGTCAAAAGATTTCCTGTGTCAAACACAGATACCAATCGGAACCTGCGCATGTGCGCTTGTGCTCTTCCTCTTATGTCTAAAAATATGTGTACCAAAAATTTGGTTCTAATTGGTTTAGCAGTTTAGCCGGAAATGAGAGTACAGACAGACAGACCGACCGAGATTGTGGTGGTGGTCAACCTACCGCAATTACTGACGCGCGGGTGGTAAAAAGCACAGTATCAGTAGTTGGCGTGGGAACAGGAGATTTCCTAATTGCATGAAATGTGACCAATCATTCGCCTAAATTATA